TCATGAAAAAAGTTAACACTTAAAGATACTCATGCCCCAACTCTTAGATCACATCCACTGGCATCCAATTGTCAGTTGTGTATACAATAACTGCAAATACCTATGGCTTGCATTTTGATCCATTTTTTTGTATTCTATTCATATGGTGGATACTCGACTAATTTAAACCAAAACTCCAAATGGGAAACTTCTTTAGCAGTGCAAATAAATCATTCATTACATGCCCAAAACAGTATATTCAAACCTGCTCTAGAAGCTAGCTGAACACACTTTGACAGAAGCATAATTTTCTCAACACCAGTACTGCTCCTGAAGAACAAACCAAAGTGATGGAAAGATAGACCATCCAACAAAACAGAATGTGGAAGCTAAGGCGCCTCTGGTTGCCCACAGGCAAAAGGAAAAAAGTTTGACCACTTGGCTTGTACACTAACAAAATAGTACACAATAACCTATCCAGATCCCAGGCAGCCTGAGCATAAATTACGGGCCGTGATTTTTACTATGATTATACAACTACGACCTATACATACCACAAAGATTCGACTAAAAACTTCATTAAATAGCCACATCAACGAGCACTGCCGGACTACAACACCAATATACTACAGCAAATGAACAAGCTTCGTCCATGTTGTCTCTGAGAAATCAAACCAACCTCAAGTTCCCGACAACGCAAAAAATGCTTTCGCAGCACCCATTCATAAAACCAAAAGAATAAAAAATATTGTTTTTGATAAACCATTCGAAAACAACTTTCCTCTTCGAGATGAACCAACATGAAAGCACCTTCCCTTTCGTCTCACCAATAGATAAAACAAAAACAATCTCGACACCACTTCACCATCATCAATCCAAATGTAGCTTTTGCAAATAAGCATCTTTCAGCTTCATATAAGTTAAAAACATTTATAGCTCCAAAGTTCTACGGTCTTGAACAGGACCAAAATCAAAAGCAAAAGACGAATCAATTTTAAATGAATTAATAATTTAAGACAATAATTTAAGAAGATAATCAGAAAAGATTTCAAATTCAATCACATGGGCTTTGCTTACTGATTATTAATCAATCTTTAAGAACTAAGTAAATAGGCAAACAATTAACAGGGCCAAACCTTCATGCAGAGAAAGACCTGGTCTTGCCTTTGAAACTCAGCGAGAACAGCAAGAAGATCAGACTTAAGCAAGCGAGAAACATTTGATTTAATAAACCGGTCGAGTCGGACAGGATTCAATTGGAGTCTCTTCAGCTCTTTGGCCGCCATCAATCCTTCTTTTCCCATCTCCTTCTTTCGTCTCCATATCGATAAGCTAGGCCTTGAAGCTGAATGATTATAAATGCAGCGAAAAAACACCAAAATTTGATGTTTTTGAGTGAGAGAATGGGGTTTTCTAGACAGGATGGCTTTTCCTAGAAAATTTGAAGCTAAACGCCACATAAGAACCTCAATAGTCAATACAGAGTGTTCGCAAGAAACCAAGACTCTCAGCGAATCCAAACAGGTTTTCTATGTGAAATGCTCGCTTGTGTTGTTCAGGCACCGGCAGTCAATTTGTGAATGGTTTAAGGTTGGGCAAACCTTATTTCCATTACCCGACTATTAAATTATATTCATTTCAGCTCTCAAAATTTAAAATGATTTCTGTTGCTTCCCCATACTAGAATTTCCTCAATTGGATGGACCATCTTCTATTTTTTTAAATATGAATCGTTAATTCTCCTCGAGATGGTTTCTCTTTTTTGTATAATTTTGTAAAGTTAGATGGAGTAAGTTAACTAACATGGATGGAAGGACTCAATTGAATAATGTTCAATACTTTAGATATTCAATTGAGAATATTTTTTGTTTGGAATTAGTAGATAGTTAATCGAACATTTCTCTACGTGGTTCAACCATGCTTTTTATAAATTTTATTTTTTAATGATTTTTTATTGTTTCGATGGATTAATATCAAAATAAATTTTAAAAAATAAAAAATATATTATTTTAATATATTTTTAAATAAAAATTATTTATATTATGACATACACTATCTAATACTAATTAGTTACGTACCGCACGATGCTACGAGTCAATTTATTTTACATAAAAATATTTAAAAAGTTAAGATTTAAAAGTATTAGGTATTTTTATAAAGTTATATCCAAGAATCTTATATTTGACTGCAACGTCTGATTTAAAAGTAATATTTATAATATTAATAATAACATTAAACATGTATGACTCAAGTTTAAGTGGTTTTGGTTGCAATACAGACATAATAGCATTGGATGTAGTTCTGACTGCAAGGTCTTGTAGTCGTGTCATAAAAGTATAATAATTAAATAGATTAATTAAAAAAACCAACAGAAAGAAAAAAAATAATAAGAAAAAAGAAAAAAATCAGAATCAATTAGGTTAACTCGTTAAATCAAGTTTGCCTATCAAATTTGGAATTTGTGTCATAAAAGTGTGATAACTAAATAAAAAAAGATGTAATATTAAGGAACTAATTTTAAAAAAAAAAGAATAATTAAAAAGGAAAAAGCAGAGAGAAAAATACCTACAGAAAGGAAAAAACTAATGAAGAAAAAGAAAAAAAAATCTGAATTAACTGGGTTAAACCATAAAACTCGAGATTCGTGTCATGAAAGCTTGATAATTAAACAGAAAAATTTTAATATTAAGAAACTATAGGCAAAAAAAATAAACTAAAGGCATAAGCTTTTTCACTGTGAATTGTACCATGCTATTCACAATAAAAAGCTTAAAAAAGAAAAGAAAAAGGGAAAAACAAAACAAAAGCATACGCCACGGGTTAATTTTTTTTCTTGCATGAAAAATATAAAAAAAACGTCAAGATCTAAGAATGTTAAGTCTTTCTACAAAGATATACCTAAAAGCTTTGGGCATAACTGCAACGTTTAACCCAAGAATACTATACCATCAATCATGACGCGGTAAGTGGTTGAACTCAGAACAAACCCCATTTCATGTACTCGTTTCCAAACTTCCATGGCCTTGTCAATGATCCCTGCTTTTGTATATTCTCCAATTAAAATATACAAGTACTTACATGATTTAAGTTTAAGTGAACCTAGTTGCAACACCAGACTTTAAAGTATTAGATGTAGGTTTAGCTATAAGTTCGTGTCATAAAAGTACGATAATTAAATAAATTAATTAAAAAAATAAAGAAAAAAACCAATAGAAGAGAAAAAACTAATGAAGAAAAAAAATAATCTGAATTAACTGGGTTACCTACTCAAACCTGGGATTCGCGTCATGAAAGTTTGATAACTAAATAGAATAAAATAATTAACATGTTTACCCAAAATTAACTGAATTAACCCGTCAAACCAAGTTAACCCGTCAAGTCTGAGATACGTGTATAATAAAGTGATCTATTTTAACTGGATTAGTCAGAATGTTTGGCTTCCAAATACCGGTAAATCAAACAAAAAAACACTACCTAATACTCGAGAGACTAATTTAAGTTAAAAGGCTCCAATACATGACTATTGAGAGCAGCATGATCACGCGCAAAATCACCAGCAAGCCACACATTTCGACACCATAGGCTGATAAAGATACCTGGTCACAGAAAAACCAAGCCAGTCATGAACGCGGCACAAGCACTTTTGCAAAGAACACTTGATTGGGACACATGAAAACAGGAACTGAATAGCACGGAAAAATCCAAACAGCATTTGCATCCCCAAGGCAGCCCCGCATAAAAGCAAATGAAGCGTTGAGGACTCTCCTCTGCGTCCTTATCAGTGTTCTGAAAAAGACCAGAGCAGGAAATGAAGTTGACATTTTAATGGACAAAAGCGGTTGAAGCACACAACACAAGAATTCAAAACCTGACAATATTAGATTCAAAACCCGTATCTGCCATTTGACGAAGGAGGTTTATGACTTCTGTCTCGTCTTTCGAACCAAAGCCTCTTATTAATGAATCGTATACATGGTTGTCCGGTGTAATGCCAGAGGCAATCATGCTGTCAAAAGCACCTTTTGCCTCTTCCAATTGTCCAAGATTTGACAGCCAGTTTATAAATGATGAATAAGTATAAGCACCTGGCGTCAAACCCATTGATGCATCTTCTTTGGCAGATTGAATATCCCCTGCTTTCAGAATCCCGCCAATCATTATGTTGAAAGAAATGATATCAGGTTTACAGCTTGAATTTCTCAGTTCTTGAAACAATCTTCTTGCTTGCTTCAAGCTACTCTCCTTGCACAAGGATGCCATCAATGTATTGTAATCAACTAATGTCGGGTTGACTAAACATTGCTTCTGCAAAATTAAGCATGAGTGTCTTACAAAATCCATCAATCATGACGCAGTAAGTGGTTGAACTCAGAACAAACCCCATTTCATGTACACGTTTCCAAACTTCCATGGCCTAGTCAATGATCCCTGCTTTCATATATTCTCCAATTAAAATATACAAGTGAACAAGTTACCAAAGCTCCCCCTCTCAACCATTGTATCATAAATTTCCACAGCCTCGTCAAGGCGTCCTTCTTTGCACAGCCCTTGAATCACAGTGTTAGGTGTGATTACATCTGGTTCAACGTAATTTCCATCCTCCAACAATGAACTACAAAATTTCATTGCCACTATTGCAAAGTCCCATTATTGAAGTATTGTAAGAAACCACATCCGGTCTCTTTCCCTTCTCCATCGTTGTTTCAGAGATTTTAAAAGCATCTCCAATGCGGCCATCCTTGCATAGTCCATTGAATAGAACATTAGATGTCACAGAACTAGGCTCTTCACCTTTTTCTATCATTAAATCAAACAAATCCAAAGCCTTCATCTTTTACAAAGCCCAACAATCATACAAGCATGAACATCAGGCTGAACCCCCCCTATCAGTCATATTCTGTGACACAGCAGTGGCTTCACTCCATAGCCCTTTCTTACAAAAACCGTTCATCAAACAACTATAAGCAACTAAATTTTGAGAAATACCCTTTTCCAACATCTCATCAAACAATGCTTTCCCTCTATCTAAACATCCTTTTCTACGGAAACCATTTACAAGTGTAACATCCACCTCCAATCCCTTTCTCCTCATCTCTTCCAGCTAAGTCATTGCCTCTTCCACTCTACCATCCTTACAAAGACCATCCATCAAAATACAACTAGTAAACGAATTTGGTTCACAATTTGACCTCTCCATTTCAACTAACAAATCGGCAGCCTTTTCCAATATTTTCTCTTCGCGATAAGTAAACATTTTTTTTTTAGCATCGCAAGCTTAGAGCTTTATTAGGGAAGAAGCCAAAATTGGACATTGGATAGATCAAATAAAGCTCGAATCTTTTAGCATTGCAAGAAAATAAGTGTTATGCAGAGAAAGCCATAGCCCAATTTTGGGTCATATGAGACACCAATTAAATACGGCAATTGCAAACATCTACACAGTGGGCAAATTATTTCAAATCAATTTTTAGTATAATTGAATTTCATTATAGTATTTATAAATTTAATTAATAAATAAGTTGAATTTACATATTTGAAAAAAATTAAATTTATTTTATTTTGGTTATCTTTATTTTATTTCTTCAAAATTCTATAAGAAAAAAAATGGTTAAATGGATATATTAGAAAAGTTAATATTAAAATTAAAATTTTCCAAGGATTTCATATTTGTGATATTATTAAAACCTCAAAATTAAATTGAATTTAAACGGTTTAAAACATGTTGTGAGGGGCGAAGATAGATAAAAATATCTTATGGAGGCAGGTAGCATGCCATCAATTTAATGAAATTCCATATATGAAGCTATGTATAAATAATTTATCATGTTTATAATTTTTTCAATGCACATCAATGGTAATTTGTGTTTTTTTAATAAAAACCACAATTAACTTTATTTGATAAGTGATGATGATATAAAAATCACTTAAAATATTCTGAAAGGAATTATTTGTAGAGATCCTCGTACGTCATTCATAGTATATTCTATGACCTTCATTTCAAAACTGTATCGGCTTCTTCTTTAATGGATCTCTTCAAGGAGTGTGAAATTCTTCTTAAAATAATATATGCACAAAGTTTTTTAAAGACCCCTAATAGTATTGATAGGGATCCTCTGAATATCAAGCTAGTACAAAGTATTTTTATGAAGCAAAGTGACATTAATAAAGGTATTAATAAGCTTTTATACAGACATAGAAGAGAAAAGGAAAGAAGATGTAGAATT